TATGAACTGGCCGTATTCCATGCATCTCTCCAGCAAGTATCAGCTCAGCCAGTTGTTCATCGTGTCATGGATGCATATGCCCAAGAATTTATTCCCCCTTCTGCTACTGTCAAGTACCCACAGGCCCTCTCATCTCTCTATGACCCAGACAGTTTGGACCTGACTTACCCTCAACTTTTTCAGAAATGTGCTACTGTCAGTGACTCAATAAAGGTACAGTTTTTCCACCCAGCAGAACTCTTGTCACTTTTGAAAACTTGCCTCTTGTAATTTCACTACATGTTTGTCACATGGGTAAATGGCCTTTAAACCTAAAGAATACACCCAAAATCAAGAATCGTCTTTTTGAAATAGTTTTAGCCTCCATGAATGGAGAATATAAGCCTTCAATCAACTTAAGCAATAACAATGATTTGAGCAGCTATTCAGAAGTCAGACTTGCATTTGCAACAAGCATTTGCATTACAGCAAGTATGCCCAACTGAGACTAGATCACTCACTCAAGGTATGGGGTTAAATACAAGACCAACAGTTCACATCAGTTTTTTAAATAAGTGTGCTGATAGAATGCCTCCAAGTCTAAAAATTCCTTTTTTGATTACCAGTTTTAGTCCCGTGATATGATGAAAATATTTGTTCAGTGAAAAGATGAATGTAGTAACAAATGTATTGAGCCAAAGTATATTTTCTATTCAACACAGATAACAACACAGCAGTGTCAAATTGTGGAAGAAGGAACTAATGGTCAGGCTAACTGCAAGATCTGGTTGCCCAGAGAGCTGGTTGTATTATTGCTTCAAATTCCAAAAGTGCTGCAAGAACAAATCCTGCTATGCCATCAGCAAGTCTCATCAAGAAAATTTGCTATCCAGAGGCATTTCGGTTCTCAATTGCACCAACAAGGTACATGCGTGTACTGTGTTAGTTATGTAGTGACAATAAGGTAAAAAACCCGTTCACGGGAGGGGGGATTTTGGAATTGCCAGCTAGGATATTTTGAAATTGACAATAAAACATGTTACTTTACAAACTATTGAAAAGAATGACAATGGATTGGAATAATTACGAGCGTCATTTTAGTCAGCAAGCAGTTCGCAGCATTTTTTTTTAAAATTTTGTTGGCATTTGTATTTCACTGTATAGATTATAGACCTTTTGGGTTTCCCCCCTTACTGTCCGATACATGTAGGTTCTTTGGTGTTTACCAATCATTTCCTGTTCTCTATTGTAGTGGTAACAGTATGCAAGGTAAGCTTTTTATCCTGGAATTCCGTCTTACAATATCCTTTCCTTATTTTGTTACATTTCAATTTCTAATCACAGGTGGGGATGTGATCGTGAGAAGGAAGCAAAGGATGCATATTGCTGTCAGGAGAGCCCTAAGCATCAAGACCTGGTGGTGAAATATTGTGGCCTCTACATCAGCCCCCAACATCCTTTTGTAGGGGCATCCCCTGATGGTCTCCTAATCTGCAAATGCTGCCAACCTCGTCTCCTTGAAATCGAGTCCCCTACTGCATACCAGATAGCCTTCCTATCACAGAAGAACCAAAAGGTCTTTGTATGGGGAGGAAAGATGGTTGCTGGCAACTGAAAATGGGCCACCAGTATTATTACCAAGTTCAATGCCAATTGAATGTTTGTGATGTAGAAATAGGAGTGTTTGTGTTGTGGACAAGGGAAGGCCTTACTGGCCAGGAGATCACAAGAGATACCTTCTTTTGTAAAGATGCTATGGGGGCAGTGAACTCATCATTTGTAACTGGTGTCCTTCCAGATTTGATTGGGAAATGGCTGTGTCGGAAACCAGTGCAATCTTTGACAGGAAATGTACAGATACCAGAACCAGAGGCAACAAGTCGTGACAACAGGGATGAAAACCACAGGCTGTAGTGCTACTGTGAAAAACCATCATTTGGACAGATGATTAAATGTGAGAATAAGAAGTGCAGCATAATATTGTTTCACATGGAGTGACTTCTGATACGCGTACCTCCCAAAGGAAAATGGCTCTGTCCACACTGCAGAAAAGTGCCTAAGTATTCTGACAAGAAGTCCCAAAATGGTCAGATACAGCAAAATGAGTCTTGAAGACAAGTGTAACATGGCCAAAAAAGCTTGGACACAGCAATAATAATGTCATACAAATAATTTATTTTAAGAATAAGCCTTCAAAATGTACAGCATTTGAATTAAAGACATATACAAATGATGATGGAAGGTGAAATAAATGATCTTGATATTTCAGCCACTATTCTTGGTTGTTGAGTTTTACATTTTAAAATAACTTAGTTGCAGATCATGGCAAGTTCTAGGTGCAGAACCACTTTTTTCAGGTTTCAAAACATCCAATTAATTGCAATCTTATGCAATCGTAGGGCAACAACTTGTACACGGTGTCAAATCTTAGTGCTGCACAGAAATTAATCGCTTCTTAGAATTGACAAGCATGATTATTAGAAAAACTACCTTAACATAGACTGTTCTAATCAGGAATTTAATGACCATCAATGTCTGAGAATGTGTTTCTGAAAGTTATTCAGTTGGAACTACCCCTGGGCAGAGATTAACCCTTCTTCTGTTTTAACCATCAAAAACAGTCAAAAATGCCTTCCAATTGATTTCCCCCAGTACACAGACACGTATGGGAAATTTGACTGATTTTGACTGATATGACAACTGTGTCAAGAATGCATCTTAGCATAGGAGGGTTAACAAGGGCACAAACAACAGTAGCTTCCATAGATGCTCCATTACTAACTAGTGTTATTGGTAACTGGTTTTGAAGGATGGTATACTTCTGCTTAACCATTCCTATTACACGTTCCACATGTATCCTCACACATGACAGCTCCCGACTCCAATCTACCTCTACCTTCTCTGTTTCTTACCCCTGGTGAATGGAGGACTTTTGAATTCGGCCATTGCCATGCCACAATATTCACCGACAAAAAAGCCCCTATCCGCAATAACCAAGTCACCTGGGATTAATTTGTTAAGTCCACTGTTTTGTGTGATTTCTGTGTCACTAGCTCGTCCCCCCAACACTTACTTACAAAACATATCGAGCCCTGTGGAGTTATACCTATAAGGAATTTTACAGTAGAGTGGTGTTTATAGTTACTCCAAACCTGTGCCCTTGCTAGCAAGTCAGATGGCTGCTCAATGAAAATCTCAGTACAATCTATTATCACAGCACATTTTTTGAAAAATCTTCGAAAGCAGCATGGCATGCTTAACCTCAAGGATTCTCTACCTGGCCAGGGAATTATGCTTTCCAACTTAACAGCCATTATGTCAAGGATGCTATGGAAGTTCCGTGAAACAGTCGACTGGCTGACTCCAAACCTGTAACCCAAATCTTCATCAAACAAATTTAATCGCATCTTCATTAGGAAAAGCAACACTCTACTGAATTGAGAAAGCTTGCCACTGCTGAGCAGAGTAGAGGCAATAAGATTAAACAGGGCAAGAAAAGTTCCCCAACAAGGGAGTCCTGTGCAGAACTTGAGTTTAGAATTGTCCCCTTTGAAGTCATTCTCATCAAGGCTTGAGGATTTTAGTTGCTCCTTAATGTCGGGCGATTCTGATCCAAGTGCCATGTCAAACAGTTTTTCATTAAAGTCTATAAACTCAATAAAATCATTAAAAAAAAAGACAGCCAGGGAATCTCACCCAATGCTGAGCTCAACTACTCTTGGTTCAACTGCTCAGTTCAATTGCTTTATTCAAAATAAAATTGCTGAACTTTCTTATTTTGAAATAATGACACCAGTGAATGTAGAAGAACAGCTCAGTGCTAATGGAAGAAGTACCGTAAAAAGAAAAAAGACGTAAGATGTGCTGCCACGCAAAGAAAATAGTTATTTACTTATTTTTTTGCAGACTGATTAACGGGCCCTTATAAAATGCAGTGTGATGTACATTTCTTCCTGAGGTTGTACATGTATATGTATATGAATTGGGGAACTCACAAATGGGAAAATTAAAACAAACATTTCCAGTCATCAACCAAATAATTTTTTTCAATATTTTTTTCAACAGTTAAAGGCCCCAGAATTAACCAGATATTTTTTCAATGGAGAAAAACCACCATGACAGTTGTTACTGAGAGCACAGAGGTAGGAGTGAACTATTATGAACCCTGGCATAGGGCCTTACCATAGATACGGATCACTAGCCTATCACCCAAACCCATGAGCGAGACAGGGTACTACATACCACCATGACCAAAGGGTAGTTGAATTTAATCAGGCCCAGGATTAGGCTTGGTCTTTGGTTTCGCTGGTTCCCTTTGGAGTCTTGGCATGCTGTTTGGAATGCTGGCTGGAACCATCAAAGCTGAAGACTAAGCCTAATCCACTTGTTTTGAAAAAAGCTTGCATATTTTTAGGTTAGGTGTACGCGCACTGAGTGATGCATCTTTGACCAACTCGTCTGAGACTTTTGATCATGATGAAGCATGCTTAATGGGCAATTGTAAGCATTAATTTTGGCAATGGTAGGCCCACTTACTACTGACAAAGTGGGCCGAACACACGTCATGATTTTGACAGTTGCCATTCTTCACATTTTATGCTTGCCAGCCGCTTGTCTCGCCGCAGTTGAGAGAGTTTTGCTGAGTGCACCCCTAGGTGTTCAAGAACAGCCGGAATACAGAAAAAGGACACTCCTTTATCTCTATTCCTACGGTTAGAGCAACCGAAGACATAACAGAAATTTACCATATTCAGTGTTTTCAGACACAAATAATATAAGGTGGCCTTACAAGAAAGTCAACGCGGCAAAGTTCCGAGTGGCAAGTGACCCAATCGTAGCTCGACGTATTTGTCGTACCGTGACTGTACCGCAGATCAGAACAGTTGCTTGTCCTCTGTGCGAGGGCACCCTACAGTTACTAAGGATAGATGACGTCAGAGGCATAAAGTCTATTGATAACAGCACATGGGAGTGAGCTCGCGTGCCTGGTAGAAATTTACCCACAATACTCTGTGCGTGATTAGCTGTGACCGTGTGTGACGTATTTCCTTCACTATTTCCAGCTCCCTATTGGGCCCTGGGCAATGAGTGAACCGTTTATGTGGCTCCAAGTGGCCACAGAGTCTGCCATGCACACTGTGTGGGTGCATGTTTTCTTAAAATGGGCATATTCAAAGTCTAGTCACTGTGACTATTAGGAGACCTGTCAAAAGTAGGCCTGCTATAAGCCCATTTTTTGCAGTGATGGTGACCCGGGCCATCTTCCGATTACACCCAGTGTGATCGAAACGAAGAGGGTTATTCCCTAAGGCCCTGTCAATTTCTGAAATAAGTGCTTTCCATTGTTATGCATTTTCAAAATATTGGATAGTGTGGCGAAACAGGGTAGCTGTGTTAGACTTTAGTCTGGGTCAATAATTCATATGGTTGGAAATCATGTATTAAACATGTGAGCAGCATTAGAAGTGGGTATTACCTTAGGTCAGGGCGCTGGCTGTGTAGGTTGGCAGGTGTAGCGGCCAAACTCATTTTTATTTCTAACCAATTGAGGGCGCTATAAGCGGGGACCATAAAAACAGCACTGAAAGCGAGATGGCTCCATCACGTTTTGCATCTGACAGATTTTGATTCGCCCATCCTGCCGAAGTTTATTAAACAGTTAGAGCTCATTATTCTCAGGATTCTCATATTAAATCAAAGAATTTGATTAAGTAATTACTGGGTTATTTATAGTCTTGTATAAGCCAAAACTCACTCATTTAGGCCATGCTGTTACATCGGTGGAATAGTTTATTGTAAATAGTAAATAATATAGATACGTACATGGGGGGCCTACATATTGGAGCTATAGTCAAAATTATTGGGTTTCGTATTGTCTAATTTAAATATTTGGCATCATACTCTTTTAGGGGAACTTAGATACATGTATGAGTGTCACTTAGATACACCTAAGTGCAAGTTATAATTGAGGTCGAAGTAAACATTGGGTGCATGTATATTTACATGTTCAAAGTGGGCATACATGTATTATTATCACCTGGACGTCGGATGTACCGTACTCTTGATCTCTGTTTGATTTTAATTTTATTTTAGTCAATCTGTGCCTGATCCTGTGCCTGTGCATCAAGCTGTATACATGAACAAGAAGAGAAACATTAAACATCTGGATCTGAAGTGCACACTATACATGTACAGCATTGCGTGTGTATCCTTTGGCAGATTCATCATTGACGTTTAGCATCAACATGGATAAGGGGGCGGACAACATTAACGCACTGGGAGCTACAAGCCATGAGCATGAGAAAGTTGACACACACAGTGGAGACACTGCACTTCATGAATCATCGCGGGCACAAATTCAAACTGAAAAAGGACTTGCCTATCAAAAGGACATGAAAGCAAAGCGTGTGTCACAGCTATTTAGGCAAATAAAGTCAAACACAGAAAGGCTTGAATTTTTCATGAATGATAAGCACGACCAAGGTGAGATTTGAGTCGAATACAAACTACGAGGACTTGTTAAAGGAGAACAGTGAGTACTGCAGTCTGTTGTCCAACGAAGAACTGCAGGAGTATTTAAACAACAGTTGGGACAGCAGAGATACCTGCTTGAAAAACTTCAAGGTGTACTACACCAACTGGGAGACCGTCCAGTCACAGAAGGAGCAAGACTTTGCATTGCAGAGTCAGTGTCATGGTGCCAAGGATGTGGAAAACATGACAAGCATATCACGCATGAATGGTCAACGGGGGGATCTTTTTGTAGCGGTGGAAAGGAACCGGTTACCAATTACTTCTCTCAGGTGTACATTCACGATTAAAAGAGTGATTATTTTTAAAAGGATTGTTTTCCTACCTCCAGGTTGCATGTAACGTTGACGTTGTCATTAGGCAATTGTGTGTGTAAGGGCCATGCATTCAGAGGCAACCAGGAGCCTGCATTTACGGATATTTTTCTCCATATTAACATCTCCCATTTAGGCCCTGTTATTACACAATATGGAAAGAGTTCCATAGGGGTCAGCTCGTAAGTCCGATGCCTCGTAAGTCTGACAAATGCATTTCAAAGTTCCAACTTTTTTTTGGCCCATGGCATAGATCCAATGCGTCAAAAATCCGACACCTCGAAAGTCTGATGTTTGAATTGACGCTCATTATGAGCATATGAAAACAGCGCTGGGAACAAGACTAGTTCCTGGTGCAAGTATGGTGTACTATTGATGACACATACAAACATTTTTAAGATCTCAAAAGTATTACAGTCGAAA